TTTTTTTTTTTTTGAAACGAGGTATCTCTAAGTTGCTAAATTGCCCAGATGGGGCTCAAACTCACAGTCCTCCTGCCCAGCCTCCTGGAGTGCTGGGATTGCACGTGTGCCCCACTACGCCAGACTGAGTCAAGTACATTTCCCAGTGATACCAAACATGGGTTATCTTCAGAATATAGTCATCTATTTATGCTTTTACACAGTTAAATAAAAATGATGAGACCCGATACAAGATAAAAAATACAGATGAATTAAAGCAGGGCAAAGCCAGTTTCTTCAGCTTTAGCAGTGGTTCTCAAACTCGGTGGGCCCCAGAGTTATGTAGTGATCCTGCTAAGTACAGCTGTGCCTCAGTTCACAAAGTTAATTCTTTCCACTCTTCTGGTCGCAGGCTGAATTGGACGAGAGCTGGGTCACATTCAGTGGTTAGGTTCGATGTTGACCTTATGGGGAAATCTGATTCAGTATGCACATCTCTGGCCCTATCACATGATTTACTAAGGCTGGGGAGACCCAGAAATTTGCATTTTTTAGAGATAATCAACTCGCCTGGTTCAGGTGATCCCCAGGTGGGACTTGTACTAGAAGAGACTCACACCTGTGATAGCAGGCCAAATTCCCTCGCAGAGTGAAGCTTTTACGAAGGGTTGGAAGCCTGACAGAGAAGCTCTGGAATCCATCTTTAGTTTGGAGTTCACATACTGTCTCATTCCCTGTGGATCATATGAAAAACCACATTCAGGAGAAGGCACAGGGCAGCCACACTCTACACACAAGCACCTTCTATAACTTTTGGACTCACGAATGTCTTCTACAAACATACACTCAGTTGTTTATTGCATTGTTCCGGAAGACTTCCTCTAGTCATGTCAATGAAGGAACTTTTGATGCTTGCTGTTTTCTTTACATTTGAACCATGTAGAATTCTCCAGACTAACTGGCGTTGACATGGGTCCCCTCAGCCGAGGCACACACTGCTCTCAGACCGTGTGGTGAGGAGATGGGGCCTTGTCTCTTTCCTTGCATCTATCTTACTTTGACTCGACACTCCCCTCCAGTTCTGTCCAGATGAACTCTAAGTTCTGGCCCGATCCTTGATTCCATTTCATCTGAGCTAAGCAGGATATGAACAGATTGAGGTTCTTTCCCCCAAACCAGTAGAATTTAATATTTAAACCACTTTTCATCCATTCATCAGCACTCAAGTGCCTTCTCGTATCTGAGTGCCTACTCTGTGTCAGGCACTGCCCTGAGCACTTGGGGTACATCAGTGAACAAAACAGAAAGAGCCCTCCACTTGTAGAACTTACATTTGAGCGGGGGAGAGAGAAACAAACAGTATTCACAAGTAAGGCAGTAAGTTCTGCAAGACAATGAGAAAGTATAGCTGTGTGTGCGTTGTGTGTGTGTTGCATTGTTATACAGAATGGCCGAGGTGAGAATTATGCAAAGACTTAAAACAGAGGATGTTTGTGGGAAGAATGTTCTAGCCAGAGGGCTAACCTAGAGTAAAGACTCCAAGCAGGGATATGTCTGGCATTTTCAAAAAGTAACCAGGAAGTGTAGCTGGAACCAGTTGAGTGAGAAGGATCATAGAAGGAGATAAAATAAGAGGAAATGATGAGGAAAGTAAAAAATACTCCAATTTTTTTGTTTGAGCTACTGGAAGATTAGAACTGATGATCGGCTAAAACAGGGAGTGCTGTATATGAAGCAAGTTTGGCGAAAGGATAAATGAAGAAGAGAAGATGATCGATCGATTGATTGATTGTAACAATGGGGATTGAATCCAGGGCCTTAACACTAAGCCACATCACCAGTCCTTTTTATTTTTTTGAGACAGAGGCTCGCTGAATTTCTAAGTTTCCCAGGCTGCGCTTGAACTTGTGACCCCCTGCCTCAGCCTCTCAGAGTGCTAATATTCCAGGTGTGCGCCATCATGCTTGGTTCTGTGAGTGTCAGGCATCCAAGTGGAGTCATTGTGTAGGCACTTGGATGTTTGAGCTTGACGTTCAAGAGAGATATAAATATGGGAATCATCAGCTTATATGTTTCATTTAAAGACTTGAGGTTATCAAAATACAAATGAGGAAAGGTTCTTAATCTGTATGTTGGGGGGGTTCCAATGTTAAGAGGATGACTTAGGAAAGGCAAGCAGCAAAAGAGAATAAGAAGTAACCCAAGAGGTGCCTGAGAATGTGACATGTTGGGAAAGCATGGAGGAAGAGAGGAGCCTCGTAAGCGTTTTTTCTTTGGTACTGGGGAATGAACTTGGGTCCTTGTGCTTGTAAGGCAGGCGGTGAAACCACTGATCTAAATCCCCGGCCCTTTTTCATCTCTTTTCATAATTTTAAAACTGGAAGTAAATTCTGTGAGAATCTTAGTTAATTATTAATAACCAAAATGTTGAGTTTTTAAAAAATAAACTTCCTTTATGCTGCAAATGGAAAGGGAAAGAAATGGGGCAGCAGCTAAGAAAGGTTAAAGGAGGCGCTGTTATCGCTGTTGTTTTTAAAATGAAATATAATCATGCCTATGTGACTGATGAAAATGTTCCACCGGAAAGAGTGAGGAGACTGATGCTGGGAGAGAGAAAGGAACAGTGCTTATTTTCTCACAGCTCACAGGCCTTACTTGTGAATGTTGCTTCTTGTCTCTCTGCCCCACCGACACATAAGCCCTGCTAGGGATCAGAGTGTTGTATGTTGTTCATTTATGTCTCCCAAGTGTGGAGCGCAGTGCCTGATACAACGTGGATACTCACACAGGAGCAGACCCTTAAGCAGATGCAGAGAAGGGCTTTTGATGGGGCCCAGAAAGTTTTCTGTGGGGACAGTGGGGAGACCTGGTGGGCAGGAGATGAGATGGGCTGCTGGTGTGTGGTGGGTGACTCTGAAGATGTTCTCTTTGGACTCCTTCCATTTCCTCCATGAAATAGGCAGTAAAACCGTACACTGAGATGGGTAGGAAGCTTTGGGGGCTGAATCTTTGGACTTTGGACTCCTTCCATTTCCTCCATGAAATAGGCAGTAAAACCGTACACTGAGATGGGTAGGAAGCTTTGGGGGCTGAGAAGTATGGAGTGGCCGTGTAAGACAGTAGGAGAAGGAGCCAGCATGGAGCGTGGAGTGGGATCACAGCCTGTGGACAGTGGGAGCCTGGCTGTGGGTTACGCTTAGAAGGTTGTAGAGCTTCTGAGATACACAGACACAGCACAGAGTCACGACAGGTGGATTTAATCCAGGGACTGGGAGAACGCACTCCCAGGAGGCCTTCACTAAAGAGGGGCAATTTGTAGAGATGTTGGAAATGTTATCGATCCAGCAAGGACGGTGGAGTACCCAGGACTAGGAAGAGCAGGGAGCTATTGCCACCCCCAGGCTCAACGGGCAAGAGCTGAGTGGTCAGCAGAGGGCTGTGACAGGTGCAGCTGTAGGAGAGAGGCAGCGGCGACTTTAAAGAAACTCAGGCAGGGCCTACCTGCTGCCCACCCAGGGCTTAAACCCCATCTTCAGTCTCCGGCTTGCTGAGGCCTCTTCTGCACAGAGCAGACTAGAGAAGGCAGGGTGTGCATCTGGAGAGACAAACAGGAGAAGACCTGGGCTGAGCAGCGAGAGGGGACCAGGGGAGTCACAGGAATACGCAGCAGGGTGATGCTAGCCATTGTGGCATTTGAGCTGGGTGGAGAGCTAGATCAGCTGACGGAGAAAGCAGCACGGGCAGGAAGTAGGGTTGGGAAGTGGGCTGCATGGAACTGAGGTGATTGAGAAGTTGAGTTATTGTGATGGCGTGGTCTAAATATTACAATCTGAGTGATGGCTGGCGTAGAGTGAAGGGCAAAATCATTGAGGAAGGGAGGTCCAGGAAGTAAGGGGACTGATTCCACCTCTGGTGGTACACTGGTAGCTCTCTGCCTCAGGAGTTTCTCCCAGAGGGTCACTTAGAGTCATCACGTCCCAGAGTTGGTGAGGCTGCTTTTTGCCTCAACCTTGGTTCCTAAATTCCAGCCAGTAGGACCCTGCTTGATACTCTGCTCCTGCTATCACCGAGGGCCTGCCCTGGTGTTACAGCTGAATGTGCCCACGTTGCCTTTGGAAAAGTTTTCTGGTGGACGACTATGGTCATCCTGACCTAGGAATGACCCTGATTTTCAGTTTCAGAATTTCTCATCCAGGAGGGGTCTGGCCACCTTCCCTGGACACCCAGCTTTGACAGATGGCTGTCTACCTCTGAGGCTGCTGGCTCTTTCTTGGGGCCATCCCTGGTATCTCACACCTTCAGAGCCAGCCTCTGCAGCCGGGTGTAGTCTTTCATGGACCTGTCCTCCTGCAGCATCCCTCTAGCCCACAGGTCCTTGCTGCTGAGGCCGTTAAGCCTCAGGATGGAGATGTGGAAAGAGGATGGAGCGAGGAGCTAAGCATGGATACAGTAACTGGGCCATTGCAGTGGTGGAATGGTCTTTTCAACCCCATTGTATAATGGAAAGTACCCTAGGTCCAGCTCCAAATCCTTCACTCCTAGAGTTTCTCCTCATTGATAACATGTAAAATCCCTTTGTGGCTCATAGGTAAAAACTTTGTGGCGTGGGAAAATCATGTGATTTAAGGGAGACACTCATGACCAGAAGCAGCTTTCCAAGCTCACTGTGCATTTTTTTAGAGCAACAAAAAAGGAATTTTTTGGAAGGAACTCAGTGATAATTTGATGGGGCATACTTGGAATTAAGTGTTTCTTCTACTTAGCGTAATACAATGAAGAAAGGACTCTGCTAGTAATCAGAAGTGGAGGCAGAAAAACATTCCCTTTATAACTGTGGCAAAACTAAAAAAACCTTAGGAATAAATTGTAAGAGGAAGGTTTAAGATATATATGAAGCAGACCACACAAGATCTACATATTAAGAGACGTGCCATAGTTTGAATGGGAGGATGATTCAATATAAGAAATAAATAAGATTAATATATTTCCAATCCTACTTGTGCCTATGGCCAAGGATATTTATTGTACCATAGTATGTATTGGTAAAAATCTGTCTTTTGATAGGGGAAAGATTGAAAAAAATTATATCTCTGGCTTATCCACACCAGGGAAGGCTATGCAAGAATTCATAACACTTCTAGAGGTAAATCTCTAGATACTGTTTTGGAGAGATATTCAAGATCTACTGTTAAGGGGAGGAAAATGGATAATTTACTTAGCACCGACAACGTGACATATACTATTCTAAGTTGTTGCTGCTTTAATTAGGTCATTTGATCCTCGTGGCAATTCCATGTTACAAAGGCAAAACCAGGCATCCAGATACCGAGAAATGTGTCCGAGGCTGCCGGTCCCAGACATCTGAAGCCAAGCGGTCTGACTTCAGAATCACCATGGAACTACCGTGGTATACAAAGTCCTCTTTCTGCTCTTTGATATTGGCCTGGTATAAAATAAAATAAAGACAACCATACATCTATGTTTATCTGTATGAACATAGGGAAAAAGATGTTAATGATGCTTACTTTAGGGGATGAGGTTAAGAGAGATGTTTAACCATTTTTTTAATACTTCTGTTTAATGTCTGATTTGGTGCCAGCATACGTGTCATTTTTTTTAAACAGCTACATAGAAAATTATTTTATTTGTTTGATTATTTGTTTTGCAGTACAGGGTCTTCGAATTGAGCTACATCCCCCAGCCTTCTTTTACTTTTTATTTTGAGACACATCTTGCTAAGTTCCTAAATTGCCCAAATTGAGCTTGAATTTTTGGTCTTTTTTGTCTCAGGCTCCCATAGTGCTTAGATTACAGGTATGCATCACCACACACCGCTAAGGAAAATGTTTTAAAATCAAATGACAAAATTGCAACTAAATCTGGAACAGGGTGCTGAACCCTGGATCTAATTATTTCATCTAGTGAAGAAAAGTGACTTCGTGTAGTTCATTACACTGTTGCTTCTTCACACATTCAATTTTTTGAACATTTTTCCCTGTTCTAGGTGCTAGGCTTGTAGAAGTGAATAAAACAAAGACTTTCCCTTCAGGAGTCTGTATTCAAGACAGGACAGACAGACAGACCAGAAAGAAAGAAAGAAAGAACAAGGCATGGGACATGGGGAAGGTGGGCTGAGTGTTTATGTGTCACCAAATGCCCCCAGAGGGTCTCAGAGACAAGGTGGAACGTTTGGAATGGTTCCCAAAGGCAGCATGGTAGCTGTGGTGTGGATGAGCCGAGCTGGTGACCGTGGGAAGAGCATGAGAGCCTCGGAGCGCAGCCCTGGTGCATTGGAGGAAGGAGAGGGCCAGTGTGGGATGGGAGTGCGAAGGTGGGGGAGACTATATTAGGGAAGACGACTTCAGCTTTTTCCTGAGGGATACTGAACCCTCTGGAGGAATTTCGAACACACCGGGACATGCTACCACTTACTGACCTACGCCTAGGTGTTCACTGGGCCACAGCAGGTTTGGAGGGAGTGCGGTAGCTGGCATCCACTCCACACAGCACCCGCCAGGACTGCAGTGAGGGTGCCTTGGAAATACTATCTGAAAAGAGGTAGTTCTGGTCAGGGAGTTTTCCTGGAGCTCTGAGAGGCAAAGCGAGGTCTCCTGGGCCTGTGGCTGGACACACTGCCCTGTGCAGTTGGTCATGCAGTTGTGCCATTCAGAGGAAGTGCGTGGGAAGACTGATAAGGCCGAGCTCTGAACCCGGAGGTTCCCTTTGTTTGATCTTGAGCAAGGAGAAGGACATCCTGAGTATAGGACTTAGTAAGCCCCATTTACACCAGTGCTACAAAACCCAAATCAAGTCAAAATCTAAAAACCAAACTACTCGATTTGCCAAGGAAACTCAGGGTCATAAGGGGAAAGGATTATTTCAAATATAACCCATAGGAAATGTGTGTTAGGTTGGCTTTCCCAGAGGCAGATCCCAAGACAGAATTTATGTGACAGTAATTTATTAGGAAATATATTTCTTTTCATCTTTCTTTCTTTTTTTGAGACAGAGTCTCACTGTGTAGTTCAGGCTGTCTTGGACTCACTGTAATCCTCCTGCATCAGCCTCCTGGGTACCAGAATTACTGGTATATAACACGTGCTGAGCTCTGTGTGTTTTTAAAAACTGGAATTGTGATGTTTATCTTCATGTAAAATGCATTTTGTCCACCAAGAATGTAACAAAAGATTACTCTGTGTCCAGGTTGTCCATATTATAGATAAAAGAAAGACTGAGAATCAAAGACAAAAAAGTAACATACCAGGGCTGGAGATTTAGCTCAGTGGTTCCACTGCCTGCCTCATAAGCGCAAGCTCCCAAGTTTAATCCCCGGTACCAAAAATAAATAAATAAATAAGTAACCTACTGTACAACGAGTCAGACAACATATGATGTCAACAGAGACAGGAATTTCATATCTCATAAATAGTTATAAGCCCAAACTGCACACAGCCTCTGAAGTAAGATGGTAAAACTGGTTTAAAAAGCATTTTGGGGAACTGGACATTCATAAGCATTTTTAAAGAAGCGACAGAATTAAGATGGCTACATTAGATACAAAGCCTTTAACATTATTTTTCCCACTGGGCAAAAACCATTTGCAATTCTACCAGAGAAAAATAACAAAGCACATGTAACATCCCCAAATCTGGTGGCTTTATTCAACAGTAGACAGCGTACCAGACACAAGTACTATGTGTTCTGCTCATAATCCCTGGGCAGGGGTGGCAAATACTGTCCCACTGCAACACTCTCCTCTCTTTGTCTTCAGGTTTGGGTAATTTTTAATAGTTCTCTTGGCTGTGCCACCAGAGGGTCTGACTTAATCGGTCTGAGGTAAAATATTTATAAAGCTGCCCTAAATTCATAAAACTCATCAAACCTACTCACTCCTATTCTGGAACTAGCTGTGAAGACCCAAGCTGTGCTCACAGAGGGATTTGCTGGTTGCTGTATCAGGATCACATGAGCAGTACTCTGTCAGGGTTTTATCTGTGGAATAAACAATAGGTTTTACCTGTGGTGTGGCTCACTGGGAGACGGAGAGGGAAAGAGAGGCTGGGTTCCGGCTCATTTGGGGAAATCAGACACTGTATTGGTCATATACTCTTGTCCTTTTTTGTGAGTTAGAAAAATCTGCAGTTGTGGACATGATGGGACAGAAGTTAAGAGGACGCATAATGTCATTAGTGCTGCCATACTGCTCTCTAGACACACTGTAATACGTTTGCCTTTGCCAGTATGACAAGATTTTAAAAAAGGCATGTGCACATTCTAACTTACGGTTATTTACTTATGAGTTAGGGCCTTTTTTGAACTTTTTTTTGCAGGGGGGGGGGTTTGAGACAGGGTACTGTATGGTTGAGATTGACCTGGAACTCACTGGGTAGCCCAGGCTGGTCTCAAATTCACAGCAATCCAACTTCTTTTAAAGTGCTTACTGTATCCTTTCTAGTAGCTCCTTTGAGTATTTTTGCAGCCTATTTTTCTATCGGACTTTTTTTTCTTAGTGTGTTTTAGAAGCTCTTGAATTATTAAGGAGATTTTCACTATGTTATGTAGTTAAGGGTGACTAGGCAGAACTTTAAGAAGATTCTACATGCTTCTCTGCATGCGGGCTAAGACTTTCCCACACTCCAGAGCCCCTTCCTCCTTTTTTGTGTTTTTTATTTGAGACAGCTCCTGATTAAATCACAAAGTTACCCAGAGTGGACTTGAACTTGTCTTCTGCAAGTTTGTCCTGCCTCAGCCTCCCAGAGTGCTGAGATTACAGGTGTGCACCATCATGCCCTGCTCTAGTTGCTTCTCTGTGAAGACAATTTGTCACTTTTAAACAAATCTCAGGATCTAAGAGGGAGCTAAGCAGATATTCATCACCCTGAGAGAAGGGGTAACTGGAAGTTTCTGTGTTTGGCTCGGGACAGGAACCCCCTGACAGTTCCGTAGTCTGCCAGGGTTCCTTTGACAGGTGTGCAGCAGTAAGCGGAAGTCTGTAGAGAGCCCTATGGCCTTGGGGCCCGAGCTGGGCCCCGGACGGGGGCAAATGGAGGCGCTCTCGCTTAGGGGACAGCCGCCCTGGCCTTTGCAGAGCAGCGGCCACAGAGGACTGAACTGAGCCGGGCCGGGCTCCACAGCGCCTTCGCGCGGCGACAGCAGGGGCCCGGGTGGGGCAGAGGGGCGCGGGAAGTTGGGAAGCCGAAGACTCTGCACTTAGACCCGGGTGGTTTGGCAGGGTGGATGCCCTGAATAATTTGATCCTCACACTTGAGAGAGCAGGGCTTACCAGTGCGACACAGGTGTGGCAAATGTGTCTTCCATTCAGATATTTATTTATTGTTTATTGTGGTGGGGATGAACGTGGGTGCTCTAGCCCCCAGCCCACACCCGCTCGGGCCCTCTGAGAGTCAGGTCTGAGCAGGCTCTCGCTAAATCGCTCAGGCTGCCTCAGCTGGGGTCGCCGGAACGCACCCCTGAGCTGAGCCTGGCTCTCAGATTTTCTTTCTTTCTTTCTTTCCTTTCTTTCTTTCTTTCTTTCTTTCTTTCTTTCTTTCTTTCTTTCTTTCTTTCTTTCTTTCTTTCTTTCTTTCTTTCTTTCTTTCTTTCTTTCTTTCTTTCTTTCTTTCTTTCTTTCTTTCTTCTCTTTCTTTCTTTCTTTCTTTCTTTCTCTTTTTTTTTTTATAACTTTCTGCACTTTATCACTTTTGCACGTCATACAGAGTTTTAAAATAGTGTTGATCAGTCACTTCCCCTGTGCGTCCCTTGTGCGTTCCCGGTGTTTTGTACCAAGAAAGGCCTCTTTATGCCAATATAAATATCTAAATACAGATACACAGACTGTGATACAAGCTCTGTGGAGGATGCTGAAACGGAACACAAATAAAAGATCACTGAGCGAACTTTCAGTGGAATATTACACATCCCTTCAAAGTTAGCCGAGGACACTTATAAAGTGACAGATGAGTAACAGGAGTTACTGCAGTAACAGGCTTCCTGACTCATTGTCAATCGGTTTCTGTTTCCTGAGACTTCCCTTAAATCCTGCCATGAACCACGGGCCCCATTCTGCTTTTTTCAGCGAAGAAAGACAGTCCCTGGGGTTGTGTGGACCGGTTCTGTGTGCTAAGAACCTTAAACTAATGCCACTTCGAAGGGTAGACTGAGCACCAGCTTCTGATGACTTTCAGGCTATACTTGAGGAGCAAGTGTGGGCTGTTTTTAACCCAGAATCAGAGAGCTTCACAAAAACAGAGTGAGAGAGCAATACTCAGAGAACACAAAGCACAAAGAACAGACTGATCCAAGGAGGATCATTTTACTGGAGCTGCACTGGCGGCTTTTTTTTTTTTTTTTTTTTTTTTTTTTTTGAGACAGGGTCTCACTATGTAGTTGAGACTGACCTGGAACACACTATGTACCCCAGGCTGGTGTTGAACTCACAGTGATCCTTCTGCCTCAGCCTTCCAAGTGCTGGGATTATAGGCGTGCGCCACCACGCCTGGCCTGATGGGGTTTTAATGCTTAACTTTCCAGATATATAAGGAAGCCATTTCTCTTTTTTTCTTAAACCATCTTTCCCATAATTCAGCAGATTTTGCTTTGGTAAATTGAAATTAAATGTTTTCCTGTGCCTCACTGAACACTCTCCCACTTGAATTTAAAAACTGTCCTGAGTCCCCTTTTTCACAGCAACATAGTAATTGTGCATAGGTTCGACAAAACATTTCCTCCTTTCCCAGTATATAATAAGACAAAACTGACCGTGGGACTCTCACCTTACTTGGAATGATGGCCTTGAGAATGATGGTCCTTTAGTAGGAAGGACATCAAGCAAATCTACAGAGCAAAGTCTGATTTTACTTCAAGGGCCAATGCCCACAAAACCCTCCCAGGAAAATGGCCTAGGGCCAACCTTCTAGGGTTGCAACCTAAAACCTAGTTCCAAAGGTAGGGTGTCAGCTTCATAAGTGGTAAGAAAGGGCACTTCCTGGTCGGCTCTCCCTTTAGCTAATTTGCAGGGGGAGGGTCCAGCAAGAGGATTTCACCCAAATTGATAGGTGGTATAGGTGAAATGCAGAGAACTTGGACTTACTTTCCTAGCCTTGAACTGACAAATAGACTTTTTGTTACTGGGTTTTTTTTGGGGGGGTGGGAGGAACATTTGTAGACTTTATTTAAAAATATTTTTTGCATTTGTATGAATATCTGTAGTCATTTCCATATGTCAAACTTCTTTAAATTACTGTAGACTAAATATTTCTAATTGAAAATGCTTGGGGCCAGAATTTTTTTCAGATTTTTTTCTTTCTTTGGACAGCTATTAAATTTTTTTTCTATTACTGCATGTTTGTAGGACATGATGCTTCCATTCCTTATGTGCAGTTGGTAGATGTATATAACACGTCTTAATTCCTTTTATATCCCCCTTCTCCTCCCTCCATCTCTGGATCCTTTTCCCATTTGAGAAATACCTCTCTCTTGATTTCCTATTATCTGTCTTTTATAATTCGAGTTTGTTTTTGAGACAGGAAGAGTCCAGGCTGGCCCTGAACTCCCCACCCTTCTGCCTTAGCCTCCTAAGTGGGGGATTGCAGGCATGTACCCTGGTACCCAACTCCAACAGCAGATTGTTTTAAAAGTACCATTCTGCTTGGATGTGCACATCTGTAATCGCAGCTACTCTGGAGGATGAGGCAGGAGGATTTCAATTTTGAAGTCAGCCTGGGCAATATAGCAAGAGCCTTCTCAAAATAAAAATAAATACATAAAAAGGGTCGGGAAGGTAGCTCTGTGGTGAAATACACACCTTGAATGATCCATGGGCTGGCTTCAAATCCCTAGCACTGCAAACAAAACAAGAAACTACAATTCTTCCGTCCTAGCAGCTATTTAATAGTGCTTATTTCTAGTTTGCAAAACAAACTCAGGGAAAGTCTCTATGGTTAGCACTCACTGCACCTGTATGAATAACCTGTGCCAGCCTAGTGAGGCCAGCCCTTGTGTGACCAAAGATAATCCCTGGAACTTTCATGGAAACAGAAGGGGGAAACATTAGAACAACTGGAAAGACTCTGAAACAATTAAAATCAGATTACTGGGGACAGGTGTGTCCCTTCTGGGTTGATTCTTCATGAATTTTGCTTTATGTTTTTTAAACTTATAAATTGTAGCAAACTGATAGAGATGAAAATTATTATCCAGAGATACAAATAAATTGTCTGGTTGAAATGTACCTGACCTCCCCTTGGTTAAGTCTAGTTTTGTATCTATTAGTTAATTCCTGCAGCATTATGATTGCTCATTTAATACATCTGTCCTTTGGCCTTGTCTTTGAACCACTTTCTGAAACACCTTTGCCCTTCATTAATAATTAGGCGCCCGCCTGTGATCCCAGAACTCTGAGAGGTGGAGGCAGAAAGAGTCCAAGTTCAGGCCCAGCCTGGGCAGGTTAATAACTTACGGAGAACCTACCTCAAAATAAAAAAAGAGCCAGGGTTAGAGCTCAATACAAAAGCTCTGGGTTCAAACTTCACTACCAAAACCCAAAACAAAACAAAACAAAAAACCCACGTTTAATTTATTGGAGGGTAGTTATTTTTACATTTGTAAAAACACCCATATATTGTTTTTTATGTTTTGTTTTGTTTTTGAGACAGAGTCTCACTGTGTAGTTCAGTCTGGCCTTGAACTACATAACCCAGGCTGGCCTCAAACTCGCGGTGATCTCCCTCCCTCAGCCTCATGGGTGCTGGGAGTACAGGGGCGCATCTGGCCGCATTGTCTTCAATATATTGACTTCTCTTTAGATATGTGGTAGCATATTGATTGAGACTTATTTTCTATACAAACTAGGAAGAGGCCAAAACTATCAAAAGCAGCTGGAGGTTTAGTTCAGTGGTGCCAGTGCTTACCTGGCAAGCTCAAGGTCCTGAGCTCGAGCCCCGATTCCACACACACACACACACACACACACACACACACACACACACACAGAATAAAACTATCCAAAGCACTGCAGACCACGAACAAAATCTGCTCATCTTCTCAACAGCCTTTTCAAAATGCAGTCTTTTACTGCTGCTTTGATCTTCTCATATTTTTTTTTTCCTTTTTTCGGTACTGAGGATCAAACTTAGGATTTTGTGCTTATGAGGCAGGCGGTGGCAAGGAGCTAAATCCCCAGCCCTCTGCTGCTTTGGTTTGAAAGTGACCATTACTCCCTTTGCCCTTGGGGTTTGGCTCAGTGAAGTAGGCACAGGATGCAAATAAGGACAAAAGAATCAGCTTTATTCCTGAAGAAGCTGGACAGGAGTGTGCGGCTTGGACTCCCACGCCTGTTTGTACCTTGAGGTCCCTGTGGGTGGAAGTGGTGCTGCAGGAGGGCTGCTGTCACCTGGGCAGTCCACAGGGAGGAGCCACAAGCCTCAGCTGTCACACCAAGGCCCGTGCTACCCTTGCGTCAGCTGGGTCCACAGGGACTTGCCCATCAGAGCCTGGCCCGGCTGTCTCCCTCGAAGATCACAGGGGGAAGCTGGTGACGGGAAAGAGAAGGCCAAACGCGGTAGCTTGCTCCACAGTATGCTTACAGAAATCCAAGTGTTGGGCTGGGGATTTAGCTCAGTGGCACCGTGTAGGCCTTACAGGTGCAAGGTCCTGAGTTCAATCCCTGGTACCAGAAAAAAAAAAAAAAAAAGAAAGAAAGAAAGAAAAGAAAAGAAAAGAAATCCAAGTGTTGACAGGATTTCCTGTGTTACAGCGGCTGTGATGTGGGGAGCGTCCCTTGTACAACATAGGACAGAAATCGATGTATTCATGAAGGTGAACCAGAGTTCAGACACTGTTCTACCCATTCTGACTATGAAGAACAAGAATGTGCTAGACCAGCTACATTTTTATCACAAGTTTTTTTAAGCGTGGGATCCTGAAATGTAATCTTCCACGATTTAGTGCACGACAAATATGTGCAAATCTTTCTCCAGAAATTCTGAAGAATATATACAGTACTCAGCTGCCCTGTGTCAGCACTCTGTTCCAAAAGAATCAACACAAGATCTGTAAGTACTTTTAGTTCACATTTTAATTGTTTAAAAACTATGTTAACAGAACAGTTATAAGACAGAACTTACATTTCTTTATTTACACCACACCTTGAGGGGAAAAAACAGCTCTATTTTGATCAACTGTGAATAGCAAAGTTTTGTGACTTGTGACTCTTAAATCACCCATCTGGAATTCATTTACAAGGTTCTTACATTAATAAAACTGTGGTGTGCTACATGGTGATGGACTCATGGGAAATCTAAAATGTACTGAACGCTGGAGAGTGGATTATGTACCAATGCTCTAGAAATACAAGTGCTTGGGGTAGAAATCAATGTAAGACATTCTGTGTTGGTGTAGACATTAAAATAAACAGCAGACATGCACGATTTTTAAAATCTTGGTAAAATAACATTTTTTTCCTTCAAACTTGTGCTCATAGTTAATATTCAGCCCCCGCCTCCCTGCCCAAGATCCTAAAGTTTGGGAAATGAAGCAAGTATTTTGGAAAAAAAAAAATTCTCCCTCTAACTTCTGTTTCCATAAATACTGTGTAGCGGCATCAATGGTAACAGTGAAAGAACTTGATGAAGAAACAGGCTGTCATCTTAGGTATGCCTGTTTCTAAATGACAATGATTTGGGTCTAAATACTCCTTACCGGTAGCTCAGAGAACTACTGTTTAAATACTCGATCTTAACACCAGCATAAGAAATCAACACAGATATTTCTTGGATTTTTTTTTTCTAAACAATTGAATAAGGTTTTAGATTTTAAGGTTATACTGAGAAATCTATGTTACCTGGGAGAGAATGTGAAATTTTTCCTAATTCCCAGACAAAACCACTAATATCCACGAAAACATTTATTCTTTATATGCAGATACTAGTGACTTCTATTTCAGTGTGGATCAACAACTGCAAAAATATACAGCCTCCTATTTATTTACAGTGTATTTACATACAGAGGAAGTATTCCTACAAGAAGCCTCAGCTGCATAGATTCCTTTAAAAATACAAACCCGAGCCTGTGTGCAGACAGGCTCAGCTACACAGCCCTTCCTCAGAGGAAGCTCTGAGGAACAAGGTGTGTGCATCCGTGCCTGTTTCACATTGTTTTCCAAGAACTCTCCCTTTTCGATTTAGTGATAGCTTTCAGTTGTCAGCCACCCGCCCCCAATTCGTACCTGAAAGCCTTATATTATTATCAATAATTCACTACATTTGAGAGGATGTTGTGTTGCTAAGAATTCTCCGATCTGCTATCCCTAAGGAAAACCATTTATTAATATTGCTAAATGATGCTGTATCTGTTTTGAAAGTGGCTAGATGTTTACTTGAATGGGGAAATTATATTCTTAAAGCCTATGCTCTTTGTAAGCCTTAAACCATTTAAACTGATAAACGGAAGGAGATGAATAGGTTTTTGCTCTAAGATAAAATCAACAGTCTGATCAGATCACCCGCCTCCTCCCCACTCCAACTACAAGTGCCTTCCGACACTGCCTCCTGGAAGGGAACTGAGCCCTGCTCTGCTCAGAGCATGGGAGAGTTCAGGGCAGACCCTGCAGTAGATAATGCAACCTGTTTATCTCTTTGTGGGTTGGGACTGGAACCCAGGGCCTTGCCAGTGCTATGCGAGTCCTGAACCACTGAGGGAAAATTCACACCAAGGAGGCCAGCTGTGATGATCTCACAATGAACGTGAACGCCTTGGAGAGCTTGGTCCAAGCATAAACTTTTGTTTGAGGTTAAGGTCTTTCCAGGGAGAAGAGGGGAGGGGAAAAAAATTCATTTTGACCTCTTCACAGCTGTGAAAAATGTAGTACTATTGTGCCTCACCCCCAGGACCCCTGAGGGCAGCAGCACCTCTTGCAGGGACACTACTCCTTCCCTGAGCTCTGGTTCTCACCTCAGGAGTTCTAGGAACTATTCTCCAGGGCAGGACTAACAGGCAGAACAAAGGAGAGGCTAATCAGCTTAGAGGGGTCCTCAAGCTTGAAGTGAATCAGTGCCCCTGAAAGGCGCAACAGACTGCTGCCCTCCCTCCACACTTTGAGAACCATTGGCTTGGAAGCCTAGGTACAACTCCAGAAAGAAGTCAGTTCCTGGAAATGAGGTGTCCTCCAAAATGCTGAGGAATCTTTGTCCACCTCAACCTTCAGCACCACACTTCCTTTTCATAGGGTGTGAAAATGTGAAAAAAGAAAGTGGGTAGCAAGCTTTCTCTAGCCTTCCTTTGGTTATGGCGCAGTTAAACCATGGCCACTAGCACTAGGACTATTATTACAAGTTTGGTGTGTTAGCTGCCACCCCTGACATGGGGGAGAAGCCACGCAGTGTCCTCTTCTGTGGTGGGGCTGGGAGTGGGAGGGTGTGAGCGATGGGAGCAAAGTTCCTACCAACAGACGCAGGCAAGCTGGCTCGAGAGGCAGAGGAAAGATCAGGTACTAGCCAGGAAATGTCCTCCAACTTTACAACCCACAGGAAAGGTCTCATCCTGCTTCTTCCTCCTCCTACCTCCAGGCTTCTAGACCTACTCCTCCTTATCTTTGCAGGGGACTATGTTCCTAGCCTCTGTGCTCACCTCGTAACTGGTGCCTGCTAGAGGTGGCTGGGAGTGGGCAGTCCAGATTCTACCAACAACAGCCAGTGACATATTCTTGGCCACTCTGAGGACATACATACCCCTAGAGACAGTATTCCATTCTGCGGCTCAGTTCTTTTACAGTCTTATCACCTATTCGATTTAAGCTAGACTATAGGTATGATTATTTTTTCTAGCTGGTCTGGGAGCCCAAACCTCAATGTATAACCTGATTTCTAAAGGAAAATACATTCTAGGTTGCAAACAATCAACCTACAAAATTTTGGACTCTAATCTTACACACTGGAGACTGCCTGTGCCTACGTGAATAGACTTTCTTCCAGGACACGTTTCACTACTCCCACTTCCAATAAGTAGCACTAAGTAAATTAGGGTTTTATAGTATTCTCTGTTATAATAAGGAGAACAGTTCTAAACCCAAAGAATGCACTGGCATGGTTCCCTAGTGTAGAGATCCTATCTACCACAGGAAAATGTGCAGCTTCCCATGGCTAAGGTCTAGTACGCTTTAGTCTACTAATTTAGCAGAAAAACATCTATAGCACTTGACTGTGCTGTTTAAATTCTACCTAACATCTATGATGCATGTACTTTTTGACTACCGATTCACTATTCTGAACAAGAATAAGAGAGGTGCACTTTTCAGCAACTCCCACGCAAATCATGTGATCAGTGACATTTGACAAGTTATAGCAATGTAAGGTCTATTGTATTCAGTAACAGCAAACTTCGATAAACATACAAGGAAGGGCTTGAAAACCTGTGGTCTCATAGACATCGACAGCAATGTGATCCCTCTAAAGAAATATATTGTAAATAATGAACTTCTGGTACTGACACCAAAAAATTCAGAGATCCAAGAATATCACTGCACATCCCAGAGTTAATGATAATTTTCTGAATTCACTTTGTGAATATAAAGTGAACTATTCCAAAGCAACAAGAAAAACAGAAAGGAGCACAGCATCGCCTGCAAACTGTATTTTTTAAGTGTAGGGTTGTCCTACTGCCCAACAGTTTCATTATGTGGTGCTCCAGAAAAGCTCCAAAGGGCAGCTGAACCTGTTTTGCTGTTTCTGTCATTGCTCCTGTAATACAGGAGCCACTTCTGGAAAGGAGGGGGGGCTGTGGGTCCCATGGAATTAGGGTTCATACCTATCTAATGGCCTCAACTTTGACCTAATGTAGCTCTAATTCTTAGCATTACAGGAGAAGCTGCCGATCCAAGGCAGGAAATACCCCCCCCCGAGGGTCATGGCACCCTTTGATGTCTGTCTGATGGATGGGACATTAGTCTGTAAAGGGAAGGACAGTTCTGTGTGACTCTCATCGAGAGTGGAGGCCTGGATCTGAGTCAGGTACAGAATCCAAAGTGAAGCACTGGGACATGCTGCCAACCATCTGCAGTTAGGCTCCAAGTACTCTGGGCGTCTCAGTGAGCTCCTCTATCTGGAGGATTCAACCTTAATACACACAGATGAGAGACAGCCCGGTTTCAAAGAATAGCTCACCGAACAGGCATGCTGCTTATCACACACAGGACTCGGAGAATCTGGTGATAGGAGAGGCCCACTCGGGGAGGTGAGGCTCTGGTTTCCTTGAGGTTCCCTTTCTTCCCCTGCTGCCTTGTCCCAAGCTCTCGCCCTGTGACACTCTTTCCTTTTGGAAGGACTAAGGTAACAGTAACGAGTGGCTACTCTCCTGTGGGTCCTGCTGAGATGGGCAGTGACGGGCAGAGACAGCTTAGTCACTGAGGCCCTCTTGCCTTCCCCGTCTGGGAAGAAAGGGGCACAGTGATTTCAGCAGACGTTGTTCAAGAAGACAATCTCTGAGAGGTTATTTGTAACACTAGATGGAGAGTTAATGGAGAATGAACAGAAATGAGACTTATTTAAGATACAAAAAATCTTGTCTTTATAAGAACCTAGCTCTATAGATATAAAATAAGTCTTTTAAAGACTCCTCTAAAATACCCATATAAAACAGGAACTGCTTATCCTAAATCATCCTTAGGTACACTTTATTCTCTGTTGCTAAAAGCTGGCAGGCAGGGCTAAGCACTGCTGGACTTCTAACTCATTGATCATTCTCTCCCCCTTCAGCAGTACACGTGCAGGGCTGAAGGCCACCCTCATCCGAGGAACAGTCTCTCAGAAATTCTGAATAATCTTTTCGCTGCAGGTGCCCAGGGTCTCCCCTAGGAAAAGCTCATACCAAGTAGAGTAATTCTGGCCCAGGATGCCAAGAGGGAAACCAAACTTCATTTAGAACCAGCAGGCCACTGGACAGCCTGGATTGGGGCCACCTTAAATACTGGGCACACTCAGATCCAGCAATCGCACACACCCTGTGACCTTCATAGGATTATCCCTGTGTGCTGTGTTAACCAAAATAGGCAAATTAGTTACGAAACCATTTTTTTTCCCTGTAAAGCAAAATAAATATATACAATTCAAGATTCTTTTCTCTTCTAAAAAGGTACAGATACTGTGAGCTGAACATCAGTAGGAAAATTATCTCAGAATCTGGATGTCTAATAAATAAACATGATTGATGATCATGTTTGTAAAGCTCTAAGAGACAAGGAAGCCACAAAACACAGGAGAGTGAGAATAATTGCTTGTGAAAAGTACTAAAAAATATGCTTCTATGAAATTTGGGAGGTGGGAGGGTGGATTCACAATCCCTAAAGAGATCTCAGATCTTGCAGGGACATGAACCATTAGATAGAGGTTTCTGTTTTGCACCCAAAGTGTTATTCCATTTGAAGTATCCTGTACATTTCTGTCTGCTCCTGTGATCTTTCAGAAGAACTGGAGAGGGGCTGCTGATGTGTGGTGATTTGACGAGCAGCAGACCAGAATGTTTTTTCTCAGCCAATCTCAATGGCAGCGTTTGTCACTACTGGATGAGCAGGCCCAGTCATAGATGACCAAGGGGATGCTGATCAAGGAGAACAGCACCCCCAGACCCAAAAACAGGGCAGCCTGGAGCAAGAAAAAGGCATGGGTTATTTCTAGTACATCTAGCACTTTTCACACACACCTGTGTTTCAAAAAAGCAATCCTCCTCCCCTCCCTTTTGTCCCCTTGTATTTGAAGTTGTTTTAACCTCTGTTGAGCAGTGAGACCATGCGAATCTGATTCGGCAAGGATGGACAAGCACAAAAAACCCACTGAGCCAGCCATCCTCTGCATCCTGTCCTCTGACTTCATGGTCACCACACATGCGTCCGTTACACCAAGGAGTGGGTGCCCTTACTGCTCTCTCTCTCTCAAACTAAGACTATAACTTTAAAAGAAAGGAAGAAAACAAAGACTTGGGAAGTATTCAGGCTGTTTTGTTACTTGTGACCCAGCAACCTAGGTTATCACTGAGAAGCAAATGTTTCTGTTTGAAAAAAGTGGAACAGATACTGCACATGGAAATGCAAAGTAGACTTGATGAAACTAAGTGGAAACACATGTCAGAAACCAAGTTACTTGAAGGGCTGATGAAGGTCTGGGGAGAAAAGATGAAATTTGAAATCATTTAGCTTTGAACATGTGCAGCAAGACAGTGCAGGGGGAGGCTGTCCTAAGGCCTGTGAGACTCAAGGATTTGCCTGAGGAGTAAGGGAGAGAAGGCGCTAAGGGGACAGGAGGAATAAATGGTGGGGGTGACCAGTCTAACTCCAGCAGTCCCTGCCTCGATAGAGCCCTTGCCTAATGCTATTTGATAGACCCAGATTTATCACAAGAGCAGGAAGGAGAGGCCCAGAGGACTCACGGTCCACCCTTTGCAAATTCAATCTGATATATCTCACTGCAGTGCTCCTTCCTCTCTGTCCTTGTGAGGACCCTATAGGTGGGGCTGAGAAGGATTTGAGATTTAAGGCTTCAGGGAAATAAATCCTCTTAGGAAACGAGACCCTGTACCAGAAGCAGTGGTGCTTCCTTCTCTCTCCTCTGGGTCTGTGGACTTGGTACCACGTACAAGTGCAGTGCTTACACTATCTGAGAGGGCAGCTGAGAAGCCTTCTCCGAGGCCAAGCGAAATGGAGCTCCAGAAGGGACTCAGGCAGCAGCCACTTCACCCCCGCTTCCCTCACTGTCTCCAAGTGCACCACCTTCAGGATGCCCTTGAACTTCACCAGACCTGGAAACAAGAATCCCAATATAGAAAGGTAGTTTTTGAATCCAGGTCTGCTTGTTCCAAAAATTGTCAAATCATAAAAGACTCCTGAAGCTAATTCCAGGCATTTCTTTCATTCAGGGGGCATCGCATGTGCCCTGGCTGTGGGAAGCTGTTACATAAGGAGAAATCGTACAGCAGCAGGGGACTGCAGAGAGCCTTTGAGCTCCTCCGTCTTGCTAAAGGCAAAGCATCGCCCTTTAGAGACACAAGAGTAGAAACCTCCATCCTCCTAGCTGGCCCTGCTCTGGATCAGGGGGAAAAAAAAAAAAAAAAAAAAAAA